ATCACCCTCCCAAATCAATGAGCTGATAGATCAGGGAGGAACATCATGGAGGTACAGTATCTGGGATTAATCACTGGATTCTGAAATCCCCGTCCGAAATCCCAGCAGCTGCCACGGAAAACAGAGGCTTTAAACTGTTTGATAGGAGCTAACAACGTACTGCCCCCTCCTACACACACACCCCCATTCCAGTTTTTTAAGCAGCCTTAACTCCACGACAGGATTTTTCATTCGAAAGTGCCACAGTCCGACAGACTCCCACAGACTGTGCACAGATATAGCCTTGCAGAAGATTGCAGTGATATTATCTCCTCACCTCAAGTGGAAAATATCAGGCTTGCAGATGAGGGCTTGGCGCAAGACACAGACAACAGGGTCCTCTCTCTGTATTCCTTTTCGACAGATTCTATCCGGCTTTCACTTTCCTTTTTGTTTCTTTGTAGAACAGTCCTATTACACTAGGAGCTACAGTTCCAGTCCAGTAGACCAGTCTGTTATACTAGGAGCTACAGTTCCAGTCCAGTAGACCAGTCTGTTATACTAGGAGCTACAGTCACAGTCCAGTAGACCAGTCTGTTACACTAGGAGCTACAGTCCCAGTCCAGTAGACCAGTCTGTTACACTAGGAGCTACAGTCCCAGTGCAGTAGAACAGTCCTGTTACTATAGTCCCAGTACATGAGAATAGTCTTTGTTACTACAGAATATTGTATTAAAATGCAATAAAAGTTAACACTTGACAGTCAAACCAAGCAACCCCTTAATGAAAAACTAACAAAACAGAAAAAATATGATCGAATCTACATTTTCCCTTAATCCATTTTTTAGGATATAACTCGCTTCTTTACCCAAAGGGTGGTGGGAGCATGGGACAAGCTGCCCAGCCATGATGTTGAAGAAGATATCCTGACTTCTCTCGCTCCTCTGGTTGAGATGCTGGGATCAGTGAGCTGCTAACTGGAAGGGCAGAAAGGCTCCTCTCCTACAGCGTGTTTGAACATTTCCTATGCAACTCGGACAGAGTTCCTGGGGAAGATGGGCGCTGAGAGCAGCCGCAGGCCAGGGGGCGCTGATCCCGAGACAGCTCAGCGGACCGCCCTGCTCCCAGCGGGCACTCGCGACATCAGACAATCAGGAGAAAATCCGCTAACTGTATTGTCACACCTGCGCTCCGACGGGCTCTCGCCCGGCCTTCCTGGGACAGACTGGACACTGACTCATGCCTGATTTGGGGGAGTGTAGTGATGGGGCTTGTGTGTCCCGCTCCATTGCGCTCTGCGTGGACAGGGGAAGAGCCCGAGCTGCTGAGCTGGCCTGTTTTCCCCAGTATTCGTCCTCCCAGCTTGGCAGATAGCGGTAGTGACGCCCCCCCCCTCCTCCGCTCCGCTGGTCTCCACGGAGACAGGGATCGCGGGGGGTCAAAGCCGGGGTCATTCTTTCCAGCGCTCGGAGTACGGCTCATTAGGTCTTTGGTTGGGAAGTTTATTTTAAAAAAAGGCTTGGATCAGGCATTCCAGGGCACTCTATTAAAGAGCCCCCCACCTCCTCCCCCTGCCACCCCACCCCACCCCCAGATCCCGGCCCAGCGAGCAGACAGCAGCCTTGACATCGCCCGTCCCCCACGCCCCGGCGTCCGCCGCTGTCCAGCGCCACAATGAGGCCCATCTGTTGAGGATCTGCTGCACTTTTTCACTTTCTGTCCATACATCTGCTGCGGCACGATGGAGACGTCTCCCCCTCTGTATAGCGCCTTTCCAGGATGTTGCCCCCCCCACCTCCCTGCCCACGCTCGGGGTGCGTTGTGTGGCGTTTGGTAGGAAGCTGATTTGACTCGTACTCAGGGCACTGCGCTCGGTATTCCGGTACTCATGATACTGCAGGATACCTTTCTCAGGGTGCTGTGCACACAGGTGCCCTGGTTATTGTTGGGGTCACGCCTTTCTCCACTTTCATAGTGGGGTGATCAGTCATTGATTCCAGCCATCGGGAAAACACGTGGCTCTCCTCTCTCCCTCTCTCTCTCCCCTCTCCCCTCTCTCCTCTCTCTCTCCTCCCTCCTCTCTCAGATCTGCTCCAGTTGGCGGTACAGTGAAACTCACACAGTCCAGCCCAGCTTCTGTGTGGCGTTGGAGTGTAGGTTGGCTTTTGATCCCTAATACATTCATTAATAATGATTTGAAATGGAAAGGCTCCCCTCGCCAACACACTCAGACTCCACAGCACACCAAGACCCCTCTGCTGGGCTTACTGGGACATTGGGGTCAAGTTCAAAAGTTGGATTTTAGATTTATAGCAGCATTTTGGTATAATCGCATCCATTGTTTCTGTTGCCGTTGATTTTGTCATTTATTACTTCAGTGTTTTTTATTTTTGTTGGGTGGCTTTTAAGGGATGTAATTTTCCTGGAATTTCAAAGTAAATCCTCGTCGCTGGACGACCCTTGAACTTCCAGAAAACTCTGAACTGGCTCAGCCTTCGTTTCCCTGACACTGTATTCTTGCTTTCCTGTTCTTTCAAAAAATCATTCTCATGCCCCCCCCACTAAAACAGGATCGTCAGGCCATAGTCCTCTCGGCCAAGATCCTGCAGACCCTTTCTGCTCCACACAGGGGACTGGGAGAACTGCCCGCGCGGCCTGCGACACTTTCCCTGTGCATCTCCGCCGTGTGCCGCGCCACTGAGGGGACACTCAGAGGTGCCTGGGAAACCAGGACAGGACGAGTGTTCGATCTCTAGTCCAAACTGATGCCTTCTGGTCGGTGTCCAGACGGTTATTTTAGTGGATGACCTGTTGTGGTGTCCCGTGCTTCCAGGACAGGACTCCGGCTGCCACAGGCTGGCTGATGGACAACAGGTGGTCTTTTGCCCTCTCGTGAGCACACCAGGGTGCACTAATTGTCACGCCACACACTCTCCTTTGCAAACGCCGTTACATTCCCAAACCCAGTGTTTCACAATCTCATTCCTAATTGAACTCATCACATTCCCACATGCACCAGATTCCACAAATTCTCACTCTTGGACCAATTATCCAACCATGTCCCTTTCCCTTCAGTATTTAAAGTTCCCTCACACTAACCCATGCTCACTATGGGGAAGCCTCCTGAAGTATTTTCTTGTGTGTTTCTAATCTTTTTTTTTTGTGTGTGATCTGGTTCATAATCTTTGCTGTTGCCTTTTTGACCATGTTTTTTGGGTTGTATTTCATGGGTTTCTGTGGTTACTGAACTCCTTGCTTCTCTGATTGACCAAGCCCATGGATTGTGTTGGATTGTCCTTGTGCTACAGTACTCCACATTCTGCAGGATTTGTGGTTATGCATAAAGATCCTCCTACTCTACCAACTGGTTCCCTGACACTTATGTCACTGTGTGCCATGGTAGTCTCCTGGTCCAGTGCACAGGAAGTGTCCCACAGCCCTTCAGTGTGCAGGTGCCTTCCTGGTCACTTATGTGAAGCTATGGAAATTGCTGGACGAGTCCCTCCACTGGACAGGAGGTGGCCCTTTCCTGGGCCGATACCTTGCTAGCTAGCTAGCTTCAGAGCAGTGTGTGTTGCCCTAATTTCCTTCTCCCACCCAGCTGTGGTTTTAAGGGGTGAGCCCCCCTCATATACACACACCGTCTACTCATTCCTCAGTGTGAGACTGAGGGGAGAGCTCATGTCTGGACTTTCTAATGAAAGTTGTTCCAGCGACCGATAGTGGAGGATCTCACAATTGGAGGGGCTTCAATCGGATATTAGGTGTGAGGATGGAACTTGTAAGAAGCTCCAAAACTTGATAAGCCAGGCCACAGCACAGTGAAATGTACTCATGAGTAACTTACTCGTATGCAGCTGCAGCCAGTGTGGGGGGGAATATTAGTCTTATTTGTGATGCTGCGATAGGTGGAGATACCCCTGTGATAGTTCACTGGTTAATTGAGAAACACCCTGAATTCTCACAGTGACATTAAGCTCCTTAATGTATTTTACAAGTGGAAGCCTGCACCCCCCCCACAGAGGTGAGGCGCAGTTAATCACCAGCCCTGCTGACTCAGAGGCTGACGTGCAGCCTGCTCCCCCACAGCAGCACGACCTCTTGACCCCCAGATTTGGCAGAGTCAGTGGAAGCTGCGAGAGGCCACCTGGAGCAAAGCAGAAGCCAGCTGCTGGCATCTGTCAAGTGGGGGCAGGGCTGCCCCCTGCTGGTGGCCACGCACCTGCAGCCGGGTGGTGCTGTGTGTGAAGGCCCAGGAAAACTTCCAGCACGGTGGATAGATCACAGGAACTCAATCAGTCCTGCTAGACTGCGCAATTAAGCACCTGAAATCAGGAAGCACGTCTTCCACATCACAAAGAGAGGTGGGAGTGTGGAGCAAGCCTTGCCTTTGAATCCGATACCCTGGAGTCCTTGAAGAAAGGGCTGGACGTGGCCCTGGGATCAAACAAGCTACTTTCAAAGTGATCAAAGAAGCAGAACGGGCCGGGCGTCCTTGTGGCGGGTCAAACCTTCACCTTCCTGTGCAGCAAAATTAGTGAAGTCCATCCTGACCCCCTGTGGCAGCTCAGGCCAGAGTCTGTCGGGGAGAGAATGTGACCCCAGTTCTCCCACATCCTGGTGGGGATGCTGGTCTTCCGGGGGGTCGGTACAGCTGGGCGGACTGGAGGATCTGGGGTGAGGTGCCCTGCAGACACTTGCAGTTCAGAGCACAGAGCCCTGACCTCATCCCGCGTCTCCCCCTGTGCTTTTACACTCTCAGACTGCTGAATCATGCGTGATCACAGCCTGGTGGGGTAACGCCCAGGTCTCCACTGGTAGGGGTGCAGGGGAGGGGGACCCCAGGTAACCCCATTTGCTTCTATAAAGGGCTCTCCTCCTCCTTGTGTGCTTAATGGCGGAGGAGGGCTGTTTTCCTGAAACAGCTGTCTCCTGTAACTCTCTGATGTGTCTGAATCCCACTCCTGCCACCCCCTCCGCCCCCCCGGCCGCTGTCCCAGAAGATCCATCACATCGACATTCCGAAAGAAGGCAAAAATCAGGAACCAGAGAGTCCTGCTTCCAGTGCAGAAAAGAGTTCGACTCCTGCTGCCCTGCGGCTCAGGAAACTGAGGAGGTGAGGAGGACATCTCCACTGTGCTGCACTGCGGAAGAGGTAAGTCAGATTTCTTGCTCCAGAGTGCTTAGGTCCTGTTGCTCTGATCTTGTACGAGCCCGGTGGTTTTGCACTGTTATTTTCGGCTATGTTGTACTAACTGCTCTGCCCTGCACTTACGAGTCTGCTGTGTCTGACTGTGTTACCACCCTGAAGTCCTCTCTGGGATGTTCCGTCTTCTTTCCTAGACGTGTGTCTTCAGTAATTGCGAATGACAGCAGTAAACCTCCAGCCTTGTTAACACGATCACTCAAAATTCAGGCAGACCGTGTCTCACGCCACCCAAGTGTCCATCTTCAGCTGTTTCTCAGCTGCAGAGGGTCAGTGGGTGAAAGCAAGGCTTTGTAGTTTACATTTACTTGATAAACTTAGGTCATTTTGCCTTTATGGATCCTCTGTTGCTTTGTGCTAATGTAGCAAAAGGATAGGTTGTGTTTCCTTTGTGATATTTCAAACGAGCTACACTGAACACTGGCCATCAACTGCTTCTTGGTAGTAAGAAGAAGAACAAGAAGAAGCAGAAATTCCATTTCCACAGCGCTTTCCAAAGGATCCCACAGCATTTCATTTACAGGAGACTCGACCTTTCTGCGCCAGTGAGCTTTCACTAAAGGTAAGATTACAGAATGTGCTTACAATAAATAAATGTACATTTTTGTATATGTTAAATATTTTTATAGTGTAATAATGGTTTTTATTGGACAACATTGTGGGAATAATTCAGGTTTCCTGGGTAAATCACAACTTTCAGTTCTGCTGTCATGCAGTTACAGTTGAAACAGTAAAAGAACAGAATGGTGGCTGAACATTATGGATCGAATCTGGATTTCAAACACGGACTTAGCATGCCAGTGTTTGTGTGCTTGCTTGTGCATGTCTGTGTGTGAAACTGTGCCTGTGGCCATTTGTGTATGCATGCATGTGTGTGTACTTGTTTGTGTGTATGTGCACAAACATCAGTGTGTGAGTGCATGTGTGTGCGTTATGTGTGTAGGAATGGGGTGGGCGGTAAGGCACCAGGAACAAAGTGAAACCTAATTAACTCTCCCAGCTCCCGGCCCTGTTCTTGCAGTAATTAAGAAGGCTTGTTTGGCTTTCATTTTCGTGAAGCCGGGGAGGTCAGTGACGGTGGCCTTCTCATTAAGAAGTGAAAATGCTGAGTCACTGGGGCTCACAAGCCTCTGACCTCCTTTATAATGTATTTTTTACCGCTGTTGCCAGTGAGAGCGTGCCTCACCGAGATAACGAGGATCTGTGAATCTGGGCTGCTCAAGATTTATGGAGCCAGCACCCGTTAAAGGAAGAAAACGACCTGTTTGATTTCAACATCACCAGCCAGAAATACTGCATGCTTAGGCCACAGATAACTTGGTCCATGAGTGGACGAACCATGAATGTCACCCCTCTCCCCTCTCCCCTCTCCCCTCTCTGAAGGGGTTCCTACTGGACAGAGCGGAGCAGCAGGAATTCTAGGACATCAGCAGGACTTCCACTTTATTTATATTCCTTCTGAAGAGAGAAGGGCAGTCACAGACAAGACCCTGTCTGGTAGCTAGTACCTGCTTGATCCCAGGATCTCACCCGGGGTAACAGGAACTGCCTCCCCTCGTTAGATATAAATGCACTCTGGCACAGTCAGCTCCGGTCTGTGAAATTGCGTCACCTCCCATGACAATGCATGTACTGTATGGACTTTGCAGATCGCTGGATTGCCTCACGTGAGAGAGGAGGACAGTGGGATGGCGTGGTGGAAGGGTCTGGGAGTGCTCTCCTGCGGTCTGCTCCTGCTCGCTCTCCTGCGCTGTAAGTGGCCCGTGGGCCTGTGCACATTGTCCAACCGGTGGGCTGGGGTAGGCCAGGGAGGACTGGCTTTGCAAACAGGGTTTGAACCACAAAGACAAAGATTGCTCCATGGGAAGGGACATCTTGAAAGAGCAGAGTGAGAAGAGCTGGTTATTTAATACTGCATAGTAATTCAGAAGCAGAGCTGCAGGGTTGAATTGAGAATGTCCTGGTTTTAATAAGTGCTGGACCAGCTGTCCTTCTGGTCTGACAAGACTGGACCTGAACCACTGGAC